CTAAAATTATCAAAATATCGAATATAGGGAGGTACCGTTATATGGGGGCTATATGAAAACGTGGACCTACATGGCCCATTTACGAACTTAACTTGCCTACTGGAAAAATAAACATGTGTGCAAAATTTTAGCCATCTATCTCAATTCATTCGAAAGATAGCGTGATTACACCAGATAGACGGACAGACAGACAGACGGAGAGATAGACAGACGGATATGGCTAAACCGACTTAGAATTTTACGCTGATCAAGAATATATATACTTTGTTGGGTCTGACATGAGTATTTCGAGGAGTTACAAACGGAATGACAAAGTTAATATACCCTCCATAGTATGGTGGAGGGTATAAAAATTCTCTATCGCCTTAAACCACGTTTAAATTCAATTCTCTTCCGGAACTAGTTTTTCCACAAGAACTTTTGTTCCTAGTTTTTTTTTTTTATTTGTTTTCAATAACAAAAATATGTAATCATGTCATGAATACCCATTTGAATTTCGCTTAAATTCCCAATAAATATGAGTTCTGTTTATTATAAATACAATACTTGAGAAATGAATTGCTATTTATTTATTTTGAAATACAAAATATTTATATACAAACATAGCGACGTATATGTATGGATGTTCTTGTTACTATAACTAGGATATCTGGGAGTTTGAGTTGCGTTTTATGCTTTCGACAAAAAACAAAAAAAAAAAAAACGCTACAACATTATGACTCTCGTTTTTGCATGAATTAATAAAAAAATAACAACAACATGTATTTTCTATTTAAGAAACGAAGCAGCAGTTAATCATTGAGGCAAAATGGGGGGACTATAGAGGGGTAATATGATGACACGGTAACAGACGGTGTAATGCGTGTTTCGGCAACATAAAAATCCCCATCTGGAGCAAAACGAGGGAAAACAAAAACAACAACAGCCACAACCACGAAATCCTTTCTTTCATCAAACCCAGAAATCGAAGAGAAATCATATTTTTATGCATATTTGCTGCATATTATTTATGGCTGTTGTTGTATTGTTATTATTCTGCTGTTGTTGCTGTAATAATGTTATTTATTGAGAATTGAATACAAATGTAACCTCTGTATGTTATGGAGGGGAAATTATAGTTTTTGTGGTCTATTAAAGCTCTATGGAGACGGGTATTTATGTTGCCTACAGCTCCTGCCTGCCTACCTTCCTGCCGAGGAGTATGGAGTTGGGGGGTGGTGGAAAATAACAACGTTTAACAACACATATCACATTTCATAATGCAAATTATTGAAATCATATTTGGAGTCGTCGTCATTCCATACTGGCGGCAAAGTTTTACCAAACTGCCACAGCAACAACGGCAACAACAATAAGTTTCAAAGTTATTTCTTTTTTTTCCCCCTGAACGGAACGGAAGTGAAAATTTGCTATTTGCGGATTGGAGTGAGTATTTGTTGAAAACTTTATGCGAAATGTAAATTTTTCAAAAAGGAAATGTGTAAAGGCGAACGCGAACTTAATGTAGTAACGCTTTATTTGTTTTAAGGCAATGTTTACATTGAACGGGTTTTAAGAAAACAACATTTAATTTAATGTGTCAAATCCATTGAAGAAATGTCAATTTGAATACGCATTAAGAAGAAGACCTATAGGAACGATTGAATGTTTGTCTATGTAAGCTATTCTGTTTACCATGAAGCTTCAGAAGTCATTTTAAGGATAACCGACCTCTTGATGGTATTCTATGGTATGAATACTAGTTGAACTCCCATTTGATTTTATATGCATTCAAAAATTTAAAATTTATATTTTTTTCGATTTTAATAGTACGTTTATATATATGAGGGTTAACCCACTGGATTTGGATTTAAATTGTCATTTTGGAATTTGTCATTTTGGAATTTGTCATTTGGAATTTGGAAATTTTTAAAAAATAAAATCCTTAAAAAATTCTTTTAAAATTTTAAAAATACCGAATATAGCCGTTATATGGGGGTCTATACGACGTGGACATACATAGGCATTGTTTGTCATAAGCCATTACCATATTCAAATTCGAAACTTGAAATAAACAGTGAATAATGTAGCTAAAATCATCAAAATATCGTATATAAGGAGGTGCCGTTATATCGGAGCTGTGCGAAGACCTGGACCAGCATAGACAATTTTTTGTAACAGGCTGTAGCATCCATTACGAACTTCAAATACCACATCTCAATCAATTTCGGTGGGTATTGTACCTAAAATCGTCAAAATACCAAATATAGACAATTTTCTGTCACAGACTGTAGTTCCCATAACGAACTTCAAATACTAATTTTGAAACAATTCCGGTGAATAATGTTGCTAAAATCATCAAAATACCGAATATCGGGAGGTACCGTTATATGGGGGCTATACGAAGACGTGGACCTGCACAGACAATTTTCCGTCTTATGGTGTAGTATCCATTTTTAACTTCGAATGCCAAATTTGAAACAATTCCCGTGAATAATGTCGCTAAAATCATCAAAACACCGAATATAAATTTTAGTCATCTATCTCAATTCATTCGAAAGACAGCGTGATTACAACAGACAGACAGACGGACAGACAGACAGACAGACAGACGGACATAGCTAAATCGACTTAGAATTTTACGCTGATCAAGAATATATATACTTTGTTGGGTCTGATATGAGTATTTCGAGGAGTTACAAACGGAATGACAAAGTTAATATACCCTCCATAGTATGGTGGAGGGTATAAAAAACCTATTTATTGCAATGAATTGTCATTTGATACGGCTAGAACGTGCCTCATCAAAATAACGGTTTTAGACCCTTGGTCTCTTTAAACCAAATCCGTTTCAGGACATTTGGAGTCGATCTAGCGAAATCCGTCCGTCTGTCTGTCTGGCTGGCGTGCAGTGAGTATCCAATTTGATCCAAACTTGGTACATCGTAACATTGTTGTCAAACTTAGAACGAGTTTGGAGAAGTGCAATATCAGTCCACTCCTTCTGGTACCTCCCACAAAGGGTCGACATTTTTAAAGAAAAGATTTTTTCGCACAGAAAGAGAAAGGATAATCAGATTTTTCTCCAACTTTGCAAATCTCAATATTTGATAGGTCATGTGAGAAAATGGACCTGAAGTACCTCCCCCACAAAGGGTCAAAATTGTGACTAATTATAACTCTAATAAAATGTGATGTAAGCACCCGGTTGTCTTGAAATTGCACACATGACAATATTTTCATTAGTCTGGTCTGGTCTGAAGATGGAACATATCGGTTCATCCCTTCTGGTACCTCCCCCACAAGGGGTCAAAATTTTGAATATTCATGAAGCTCATAGAACACAAGATTAATATCCGATTCTATTCAGAGTTGGTACATCTCAATATTTTCATAAACACAAAACTTGTTTTTAAAATGGTAGAGGTCGGAACATTTCTTCTGGTAGCTCCTCCACAAAGGGTCAAAATTTTAAATAACCAAAACTATCAGTAAATCCGAAATAAGCATTCGGTTCTCTTCAAATTACACACATGCCATTATTTTTACTAACACAAAATCTGCTGCGAAAATGAGATATATCGGTCCACTCTATCTGGCACTTCCCCCAAAAAGTGTTCGAATTTTGAAAAACAAAACGAAGGTAGTTTTGGAAATATGTACTAAATGTGCGAACTGTACTAAATGGTACTTAAATTAGGTTAGGTTTAGGGTGAACTGATCAAGCAGTGATATAGAGGTGGATTAGGAATGTGAACTACAAGTGCACGGAAATTACTAAATGGTACTATATTTGGTACAATTGGTGTTGGATGGACAGATAGTATTTGAAATCTGAAATTTGTTGTTAGGACATATGAAGGTGGTTTCGGAAATGTGTAGTATAATTATACGAAAAGTACTAAGAGCTACCAAATCTTATATTGGGTATAGGAATAGAGCTGAGATCCTGAAATTTGATATCGAGTTGGTCTGAGGTCTTTGTTGGTATCTGTGATTGAAACATGGAGTTGGTTTTGGAAATGTGGAAATTATACGAAAGGTTCTAAAATTAGTATGGGGTTAAGGGATAGAGCAGAAACTCTGGAATTTGATATTGAGGTCTCTAAGGTACAAAGTAGTACTAAATTTGGTACTGGGTGAAGGGATGCAGCTGAAATACCGAAATTTGATACCGAGGTCTCTGTTGGTATCTGGGTTTGAAGTATAACGTTTGTTTTGAAAATGTATAGCCCACATTCACATACGAAAAGTATAGAAAGATACTAAATTGGGTATCGGTAAAGGGATAGGGTTGGAATCCCGAAATGTTATATTGAGGTCTCTGTTGGTATCTGGCATTTCGATATGGAGTTGGTTATGGATATGGTACCAAATTCGGTATTGGGTGAAGGGATCGAGCTGAAATCCTTAAATTTGATATTAAGGCCTCTGTTTGCATCTGGAACTGAGATATAGGGGGTGGTTTTGAAAATGTGTACTATAATTGTACGAAAAGTACTAGGTGGTACTAAATAGGGTATTGGGTAAAGGGATACCCCTGAAATTCTGAAATTTGATATGGATCTCATTGTTGGTGTCTGAGTTTGGATATGTGCACCATAATTGTACTAAATGTTACTAAATTTGGATAATGAAGTTAAAGAACTACAATCCCGAAATTTGATATTTTGAGGTCTCTGTTGGTATCTGGGATTTAGATATGGAGGTGGTTATGGATATGGTACCAAATTCGGTACTGGGTGAAGGGATAGAGCTGAAATTCTGAAATTTGATGTTGAGGTCACTGTTGGATCCTGGGGCTTACAGATGGACACGTTGAAATAGTTTTGGACATAAAATTGAATGTTGGTCCATTTTCAAATGTCCTCCTCGATAAACTTTAAAATTAAATACTTTTAAACCTTTTCGGTGTAAAGGGTTAACATTATCCTATTATTCCTTCCGAAAAAGGAAGAACTTGAATGAAATATAAAACCTTGAAAGTCCGAGAATTTAGTCATAATTTCATAATTAACTAAACTCTGTTTTCTGTCTGCCCCCCCTTTCAGATGCAAGCTTACCGAGACAACTTCAAGCAGACTCCTTGTCCCGCGACTTTCGATCAGTCATCACAACCTCAATCCCGTTTGCCATTTTCCAAGGGGAATCGAAGTCGTAGTTCGGTCAAAAACGATCATACAACAACGGGATCCATCAACGGAGCGGCTTCAGCAACAACGCCAAGAATGTTAAGTCCAACGCCTTCCGAAGATATGGGCACATCGGCCCTGTTGCGACAAAATCAAGAGCTGAGACAACGTCTAGCCGAGGAGGCGAATAGTTATCGAAGACGTTTGGACACCTATAAACAGGCACAACAGAATCAAACCACTTTGGTTAGTCGCCTCCAGTCGAAGATACAACAATATCGGCAACGTTGCAACGATCTGGAGGAACGTATGCAGGAAACGATAAAACCACCGACACCATGTCCGTCGGCACAGCCGAAAATAACGACAGGGCCCACCACAAGTCAGGTTATGGTGAGTGGGAAAATAGGAAAAATATTTTGTAATTTTCTTCCTTATTTTCGAATTTATTTTTCAGTGCTCCACATCATTGACCTTGGGCCATTCGAGTCAACCTTGTTCCTCGTCGCTGGAGACACCACCATCACCGCCCACCTGCGGAGGAGGTCGGGAATTTGTGGTCCACGAGGATAGCGGGGAATTGTGTCGCAAACTCGAGGAGGAACACAAAAAGTGCGAACAGCTGATGACTCAAAACAATGCCCTGCGTCAACAGCTGATCGAATCAAATCGCACCAATGAGGCACTGACCAATGATTTGCAGAAATTGACAAATGATTGGTCCAACTTGCGTGATGAGCTGCTGGTCAAAGAGGATGAGTTCAAAGAAGAAGAACAGGTGAGTTTTGATTATTAATAAAGGATATTTAAAATCGGGAGAACGATGAGAAGAAATGGTCCGATCTCTACTATCTTTGTAACATATCTTGTGTTGATGGAAATATTAAAATGTACCAAGTCTGTATGGAAACGGATGTAAATTTTGCGATTCATGAGCTTCGTGGATATTCAAAATGTTGACCCTTTGTGTGGGAGGTACCAGAAGGAGTAGACCGATCTTGTGTTAGTGAAAATAATGGGATGTGAGAAATATGAAGAGAATTGGATGCTTATTTCGGATTTTATGCACGTTTTAGTTATTTTAAATTTTGACCCTTTGTGGGTTAGATACCAGAAGAAATGGTCCGATCTCTACCATATTTATAACATATCTTGTGTTGATGGAAATATTAAGATGTACCAAGGCTGAAAGGAAACGCATGTAAATTTCGGGTTTTATGTGCTTCGTGGATATTCAAAATTTTGACCCTTTGTGTGGGAGGTACCAGAATGAGTGGTCCGATATATTCCATCTTCACAGCAGATCTTGTGTTAGTGAAAATAATGGTATGTGTGAAATATAAAAAGAATTGGATGCTTATTTCAGATTTTAAGCTTGTTTTGGTTATTCAAAACTTGGAACCTTTGTGGGGGCGGTACCAGAAGGAATGGCCCGATCTCTACCATCTTTATAACAGATCTTCTGTTGATGGAAATATTGAGATTTACTAAGTATGAATGGAAACGGATGTAAATTTCGAGTTATATGAGCTTCGTGGATATTCAAAAGTTTGACCCTTTGTGTGGGAGGTACCAGAAGGAGAGGACCGGTATATTCCATCTTCCCACTAGACCTTGGGTCAATAAAAATATTGTGATGTGTGTAATTTGGGGACAATCGGACTCTTACATCACATTTTATAAGAGTTGTAATTATTCAAAATTTGGAGCCTTTGTGGAGGTACTTGATGGAGTGGACCGTTGTTATGCATTTTCGCATCTGGCCTAGCATTGATGCAAATATTAATATTTGCAAAGTTAGAGCAAATCCGGTTTATCCTTTCTCTTTCTGAGCAGTAAAATTTTGTTTCTGAAAATTTCTACCTTTTGTGGGGGGAGGTACAAGAAGGAGTTGGACAATATTACCCATCTCCGAACTCGATCTAAGTTTGATAATAATATTACGATGTACCAACATTGGACCAAATCAAATACCTCCAATGCGAAAATCGACAAGGAACAATTTTCTCATCATTTTCTCTCTCTCTCTCTCTTCTGCTCTCTTTTCGCGTAGGCCTTCAAAGACTACTACAACAGCGAACACAATCGCCTGCTGAAAATGTGGCGAGAAATTGTTGCGGTAAAGCGCGCCTTCAAGGACATGCAAACAGCAATGCGTAACGAAGTCACCAAAATGGGTCTCGAAGTCAATGGGGCCGTCAAGGACATCAATTCCACGTGCAATAATGTCGCCTTCAATCATCAACAAGCCAAACGTCTGCTCGATGAACAATTGGCCCAAGTGAAGCGTGAAAATGATGACCTACAAAATCAATTGGCCACCCTTAAGGTCCAGCACGAATCGGCACGCCATGAGGTTTTGGAGCGCGATCAACGCCTGCTAGAGTTAATGAATCAATTGAAAAAACTGGAAGATCGTTGTGCCCAGGCAGAGTCCCAGGCCATGCTGGCATCGCGTTACAATGATGAGATTGATCGTTTGAATAGTTCCATACGCGAAATAGCCCAAGCTGTTGTTATGGATGCTGAGATTGCAGATCGGGAACAGGCCGAGGCAGTAGCAGCAGGGGGTGGTGGTGGTGATATGCAACACATGCACTTATCGCGGGACAGTGGAGGAGGTGGTGGAGCCGCTTCCACGGCCAAATCTCCCAGACGATCATCGGCCCGGGCCTCCCAAGCCTTTGCCGAGGGTACAATCTCGGCGGTCCAGGCCGCCTTACACAGATATCAATTAGCCCTGCACGACATGCAGGTGAAATATCAAAATACCCAAGAGAATCTAAACGCCACCAAAACCCAACTGGACACCAGCGAAGGCACCAAAGCTCTGCTAACCACAAAAATACAACAGCTGACCGAAAAATTGGATGCAAGCAATTCCAAACTTTCAGAACTTTTGAAAGAGCGCGATAGCTTGCAGAAAACTCTCGATGAGATCAGGGATCAAAAACAGCAGTCGGAACAAGGCAAAGCTGAAATAAATAATGCGGTAAGGGAGGAAAGGAATTGACGGATTTTTTGAAAATTTTATCGTCGTTGTTGTTGTTTTAGTTCGAAAATCTAAGTGCAGATTTTGAGAAGCTGCAATTCAACTATGGCAAATTGCAAAAGAAAATCGATGCCCTGGAGGAGGACAAAAAGGCGGTTGAACTGGAAATTCAACGGATTCTGAAGGATAAAAATATAACGGAATTAAATTTAAGGTAGGTTTCTAAATAAAAAAAAAAAAAACATTTTTACCTCCATAAGAGAACCGCTTGGTTCTCTTGCTTGGAAGGGCATTTGATCTTCCCTATAAGAAGACCACTTACTTTCTTCTATAAGAAGAGCACTTGTTCTCTTCTATAAGAAGAACACTAGCTCTCTTCTATTAGAAGAGCACTTTCTCTCTTCTATAAGAAGAGCACGTGCTCTTTTTTATAAGAAGAGAACTTGCTCTCTTCTATAAGAAGAGCACTTGCTCTCTTCTATAAGAAGAGCCCTTGCTCTCATATATAAGAAGAGCACTTGCTCTCTTCTATCAGAAGAGCACTTACTCTCTTCTATAAGAAGAGCACTTGCTCTCTTCTATATGAAGAGCACTTGATCTCTTCTATTAGAAGAGCACTAGCTCTCTTCTATAAGAAGAGCACTTGCTCTCTTCTATAAGAGAACCACTTGCTCTTCTTCATTTTTTCCAAATCTCTTCTCTCTATTCTCTTTTCATGCAGAGCCGAGGAAGACCGTGGCAGTCGCCTGCGAGAGGAGACCATATCACTGCGTGAAGAACTGAATCGTGTCAGTCTCAATCGCGATCTGCTCGAACAACAGCGTATTGAATCGGAAAATATCATAAATTTATTGGAAAAACAAAAATCCGATCTAGAATATGATCTCGATAAGATATTGCTGGAGAAATGTGATTTGCAGGAACGTTTGGAGAAGGCTTCGTGCAACAATTCCTCGGCCAGTGATGAACTGAAAACCATACAGTCAACTCTGACAGAGGTCCAGGAAGAGCGTAAAAAATTGTCGCAACAATTGCACGAACAGAGCAATGAATTGGCTGAGGTACGCAAAGAGCTGAGCAATTTAGATAAACTGCGCCTGGAGCTGGAAACCGATAATTTGGGTTTCAGTGAAAAAGTCAAATGTCTGCAAATGGAAAAAGAGAAGATCCTACAGGACTTGGCTTGCATAACGCGGGATCGTGGCGATATACACAATCAATTGACGGCCATGTGTCGCAAAAAGGAGTCCCTGAATGAGGAGCTGATGCGAACACGCCAGAGACTGGAACAAACCACGGAAACAAATAATCGTTTGAATCGAAATCTGGAGGAAATGGTCAAGGATGTTGAGGAAAAACAGGTGGTCATAGATCTGCATGAAAAGGAGACGCATCGCTTGCAGGTAATGTCGTATTTTTTCAATTAATTAAAAATATTAAAACTCTATTCTCCTTTCCCCAGGAAATGTTGGCCGCTCTGCGCTCCGAAAAAGAATCCCTAGATGCGGTGCTCTTCGACACCAACACCAATTTGGAAGCCACCGAAGAAAAACGTGCCCAATTGGAAAAAGATCTGCAAGAGGCTTTGGTGCGCGAGGAGTCGCTGAAAAACAACGTCGCCCGTTTGCAAAAGGAATTGGAACAATGCCAACGTCGTGCCCAAGACACCAAAACGCAACTCATCAATGCGGCCCGTGAAGCAGAAAATGATTACAACCAAAAGTTGGCCAATCTCAAATCCAATGCTGAAGAGGCAGCCAAGAAACATGCCGATGATATGCTCCAACTGCGCGGTGCCCTCGAAAAGAGAATGCAACAAGCATTGCAGGCCCTGCAGACGGCCAAGGATGATGAAATTGAAAAGCAACAAGAACGCTTGGAGGGATTACAAGCCCACTTGGAGAGTTTGGTGCAACAGCATGAGGAGGCCTTGATACGGGCGGAGAATGAGAAACAACAGGCATTGCTTATTGGTGAGTAGCTAGGTAGGGTTTGGGGAATGCGTGGCTAACGGAAGAGAAATCGAAAGAATTGGTAAACTTCTATCGGTTATTAGGGTGGAGCGGGATAGCCAAATAGAAAATTTTTGCTTTGCCCATAAAAGGTTTTAATGACTTCTACGGAAATATTGGAAAAGTTTCTGCATCTAAAGCATGCTGTTATGAGGAATTAAGAAGGGCGAAAAAGGAAACACGACCGTTTCGTTAGGGTGTAGAATCGATTCTAGTTTGTTTATACCCTCCAAGATAGTATAGAGGGTATATAAAGTATCCCATTCCGTCTGCAACACCTCGAAACATACATTTTAGACCCCACAAACTAACATATTCTTAATTAGAATAAAATTCTATGTCGATTTAGCGAAGTCCGTCCGTCTGTCCATCTGTGGAAATCACTCTAGCTTCCGAACGAATTGAAGAGGGTTGAAAAAAATTTACTCAAATGTATATTACGTCTGCAGGACTTTTGGGATTTGATATGGGCCATGTAGGTCCACGTTTTGGTATAGCCCCCATATAACGGCACCTCTCGATATTCGGTATTTTGACGATTTAAGTGACATTATTCACCTGAGCGGTTTCAAATTTGGCATTTGAAGTTCGTAAAGGATACTACAGCCACTGACAAAAATTTGTTTGTACAGATCTACGTCTTCGTATAGCACCTATATAACAGCACCTCCCGATATTCGGTATTTTGATGATTTAAGCGACATTAGTTACCGGTAATGTTTCAAATTTGGTGTTTGAAGTTCGTAATGGATATTACAGCCTATGACAGAAAATTGTCTGTGCAGATCCACGTCTTCGTATAGCCCTGATATAATAGTACCTCCCGATATTCGGTATTTTGACGATTTTAGGACATTATTCACCGAAATTGTTTGAAATTTCATATTTGAAGTTCGTAATAGGTACTTCTGCTTGTGACAGAAAATTGTCTATGCAGGTCTTCGGTTAGCCCCGATATAACGGTACCTCCCCATATTCGGTATTTTGATGATTTTAGCGACATTATTCACCTGTATTGTTTTAAGTTTCGTATTTGAATGACAAAAGTTCCCTACGCAGGTCCATGTCTTCGTATAGACCCCAATATTGCGTCTATTTTCGGTGTTGTTAAGATTTTTACAGAATCTTTAACGGATTTTATTTTTTTAAAAGATTTCCAAATTTGTTCCCAATGTTGGAGATTATTGAAAGTTCGGACCGGCCGAACTTACAGCTTTTTTGCTTGTTTTATTTAGTCCTTGAATATTATTGTCAAGAAGATCGTCAAAAAGAATGTCAGCTACTGTGGGTGAAAGAAGGTTTCCCATTGATGTTCTTCCCCTGGGACGACTTTTCTTATCATGTCTAATAAGGTGTAGCTTCCATCGAGATAGCATGACATACATATTTGTGAACCTATTTCATATAAAGCCGATAAAATGCAATCCAATGTTCGAACATTAACTCTGAGTCATTAACCAGATCCGCGAATGCTTATATAAAATTGAAGCGCATGACGATTGCCGATTTTCCCTATCAATGATATCAAAAAAAAAAAATGCAAAACTAGTAGATTCTTGCCGGCTTTTCAACAGAGCTAACAATAATAATATTTGGCTATTCCCCAATTTACTAAGGTTGACCACCACGGATGCACAATCCCTGGCCAAGCCTTCTATCATCAACGAATTTCCTTTGAAACTATTTTAATTTGCCGTCTATGATTATAGCAGACTTCTTTCTCAGTTGTTAATAAACAACTAAAACTTCTTACCCGTGATGCATCAACTGCATTTCTCTAAGATAGGGGTAATTGATCGTTTCCCAATCGTTTGTTATACTTGTTCCAAGAGCAATATTCTCCAATATATAAATGACACGGACAAGATTTTAAATCAACAGCATAATCTAGCACCAATAATTATTCGCGCTTTTCCTCGGGTAATAATCCAATTATCTTTATTTTACTATGGCTCCGCAAACATGTTATTCGAAAAGAAAGACTTTTTTCTTTTTAACCTATGAAGATTCCTTTATGGTTGCAAAAATGGAATGACACATTTATTTATGTATTTCTCACACTGATGCTTCTTACTATACTGGTTTTTTATCTCAAATTCTATTACTTTTTAAAGTTCATGACTCTCTTTCTCTCTCTCTCTTTTATGGGATTGTTGTTGTTCTTGATCTAATCATATTTATGCTTGTGACAACGGTATTGCTACAAATAACATAACAAGAGAAAGAGAGCAACAAAGGGGGGAAGAATCACAAGTAACAGTGTTTATGTGGGGTATGTTCAGTTAAAGCTACAGTGATGCTGATGTAGCGTTTCTAACATAAATAAATAATATTTTTTACATATTCCTGAAGAGGCGTCCAATCAAAATTCTCCAACTTCTTTACAGCTCATCGTGACAAACAGGCAGTGCAAGAAAAATTGGAAGCCGTGGCACGTGAACTGAAAACCGAACAAGATGCCTTAGAGAGAGCCAAGCGGGAACATAATGCCCGAGATGAGAAGCAACGCAATGCCATTGCCCAACTAAAGGATGAATTGGTGGCATTAAGGACACGAGAAGAAGAACAAAAGTAACCATCACGAAATTTTTCCGCACAAATTCATAAGGTACTTATTGTTTTTCTACTTTTTTCATTTTATTGCAGGATAAAACTTGAAGAATGCATACGCAAACAAGAAATACAAATGAATGCCCTCAAAGAGGAACGCGATAACTTACAACGCCTAAGTGATGAATTGAAAATGGATATCCGCTTGAAAGATGATAAAATGGAATCGTTGAGCAATGAGCTGCAGGATACCATGCGCAAGGCTAAGGAGAGTAAGTCATGTGCTTTGCCTCTCATCTTCCACACACTCTAATTATTCCACTCCATTCCACTTACAGATGAAGGTTATATCGAAAGTATGCGCAAAGATCTAACCGATACCAGACGCCAACTGGCCGACAGCAACATTGAGCGGGACAAGTATTCGACTAGCAACAAAGAACTACGTGATCACGTCAAGCGTGTTGAAGGAGCCAAACGGGAACAAGCCCGTGCCATTGAAGAAGCCCTGCAAAAGATAAGCAATCTGGAAGAGAGTAAAAACACCTTGGAAATTGATCGCACCCGCATCTCGACGATACTCAAGGAGACGGAGAATAACCTGCAAAAGACTAGCCAGGAATTGAATACCACCAAAAATACCTTGCAAAAGACCCAAATGGAATTCGCCCAAAAGGATGAAGGAGGCAAGGAGTTGCAAAATAAATTGGCCGCCGAAACGGAGCTAAAGGAACGTGCCACCCAGGAATTGAATCAGGTGAAAAAACAATTGGCCGATTTGGAGGCCAACTTGTGTGCCACACGTCAAGAGCTGGGACGTGCCCGTTGCCATGCCAATCAGGAGGAACATCGTTTCCATAATCGTGAACAGGAACTGTTGGCACGTTTGGAAGAGGCGAGGGGTCGTGAAAAGCGGCTGGAAGATCAAAAACATAACTTGGAGGTGTGTCTGGCCGATGCCACACAACAGATCCAAGAACACAAAGCCCGGCTGGGTGGCGCTGAGGGACGAATTCGGGCCCTGGATGAACAGTTGGCCTGTGTGGAACAGCACAAACGGGAGAATGAACATAAACTAAGTTCCGTCATCCACACCCTACGTCGCATAGCCGGTATACAAATAGATGGCAGTGTAAATCTCTCACATCGCCTGGTCAGCCCTTCAAGACGTTTCAGTCCGGTGCGCAGTGTCTCGGGCGGGGTGGCGCCCAGTTGCCATGATTTCGATCAACGTAGCACCTCCCATTGTGCTGATGGACCAGCCCTTGATGTCGACCCTGATCTAATACGCAAGGGTGTACGTTGCCTCATGCACCAAGTGGCTCAAATCGAACGCGAGAAAGACGATTTCAAGATGCAATTGATGAGTACCAGGAAACAGCTGCAAGACGCTGCCGATCAACAAATGAAATGCGATGCCAAAGTCTCGAAGCTACAACAAATGATAAGACATCTGCAACAGGAGAAGAGTAATCTGGACACTGAGCGTAGCATGAAAGTTTCTGCTTTGAATGCTCTCGAAGAGAAATTCCAAAAGAAGGCCGATGAATGCCAACAGCTAAGGGAGAAGTTGGCCCAAACAGAAATGCAATTGAATTCCTGCAGCGAGGAGAACTCGCAAAACGAAGAACGTCTGGAGAAGTGTCGGCAACATGGTGCCAAGTTGGAGAACGAAAAACGCCACTTGCAGGAGGAACTGGCCAAGATCGAGGGACGGGCAACTAAATTGGATTTGCAACGTGTGGCCTTGGAGGGAGATATTACACGCCTACAAATGGCCATGCAGGAGAAGGATTGTCACATACGGGCAGCCCAGGAACGTTTGGACAATCAAAATAGGTCCATGGCCCAACTGGAGGATAGATGTGCCTCACTCAAGACCTCGCTGGATCAAATGAAAGAAAGGCTACAAAAGGCCGCCGTTGTTGAGGCTGAGCTAAGGGGAGAACTTAAGACAGCCAGCAAGGAAATTTCCGAACAAGGCCATTGCTCCCAGGCCAATGAAGATAAATTGAAATTACTGCAGAAATCCCTGCAAACAGCTGAAAATGAAAAACGCATTCTGAGCGAGCGTTTGGAAAAGGCCCAGTCATCCATTAACGACTTGCGACGTGGCCAGCAGGCCCAACTCGACAGTGCCCAACGTTTACAGGATCAAGTCAATGATTTGGAGGTGAAAAACTCTGCCCTGGAATCACAACTACGCATAGCTAAATGGAATCAAGAGTCGGGTGATAAGAATTCCAGTTCAAGTAATCACCTCGGCGAAGAGGATGAACTAAGTCGCCAATTGAAGTCTTCACAAAGAGAAAAATCCGAACTGCGCAGCAAATTGCAAGTACTGCAGGATAAGGTGAAACAATTGGAATCGGAACGAAAGAGCAAGTTTGCCGGTGATAGTGTTTTCGATCGGTCGGAAAAATCGGCAATGGGCGGAGGCGGAGGTGGCCAAAGTTCTTATTACGATGGCAACTATGATTCGAACCGCTTGGAGAACAACACGGCCGCCAACAATAATTATCAACGTAAAAGCTCGGCGGCAGCTGGTGGTGGTGGTGGTAGTTTCAACTGTGGCCTAGATCATGCTGTCATTGAGCAAGAAAATCGTGATCTACGTTTGAAGGTGCGCCGTTTGGAAACTCTTTTGGCCGAGAAGGAATCCGAACTGGCCCGTTGCAAGGCACGCATTCATGACAGTGCCAAATGTATGGATGGCATGGATACAGAACGTTATCGCAGCGCCCAAATGCATGCCGAGAAGCTATTGGATGCCCGTGAGCAGAGTCATCGCCAACAAGTTTTGCGGCTGGAGAATCAGGTATGTTGCGAACTTTAAGACTGTGTTTTTGTGTGGGGAGGGGAGGGTAAGAAATGTATTTATTACGACTTCAGGCTTAGTGGGGAAGGCAGTATAATTAATGCATTTATTACGAACGTAACCTTAAGGGCTGTAGATGTTGTATATGCAGCTTAATCATGAATATTCCTCTGCTTTTGGGTAAGCAGGGTTATACATCGTGCCTGATATCTCTGCAGGTCATGTTGAACCACCGTGAGAATATAAAATTTTCAATATACCCGTTGAAACAGCTTTCGACCCTAGGTCTCTTTGGACCAAACCCGTTTCAGGACATTTGGAGTCGATCTAGCGATGTCCGTCCGTCCGTCTGGTTGGCTGGTTCGCACGATAGCTCAATCAATATCGGATAACAAAGGCGATATCGGATTTGATCCAAACTTGGTACATCGAAATATTATTATTAAACATATATCGATTTCAGAGATAGGCAATATCAGCCCACTCCTTCTGGTACCTACTCCACAAAAGGTGAAAATTTTCAAAAAAATATTTTTTTCCGCAGAAGGAGGATGGGTAATCCGATTTTGCTCCAACTTTGCAACTCTTAATATTTGCATTAATACTAGGTCAGGTGCGAAAATGGACAATATCGGTCTACTCCATCAAGTACCTCCTCAAAATTTTGAATAATTATAAGTCTTATAAAATGTGATGTAAGAGTCTGATTTTCTTTAAATTAAACACATCACAATATTTTTATTAACTCAAGGTCTGGTGTGAATATGGAATATATTGGTCCACTCCTTCTGGTACCTCCCCCACAAAGGTTTACAATTATAATTATCCTTGAAGTTCATAAAACGCGAAAGTAACATCCGATTCCATTTAGACTTGACACATCTCAATATTTCTATCAACACAAGATATGTTATAAAGACGGTAGAGGTCGCACCATTCCTTCTGGTACCTCCGCCACAAAGGGTCAAAGTTTTGAATTACAAATGAGATTATAAAATCCGAAATAAGCATCCGGTTCTCTTCATATTTCACATAGCCCATTATTTCTACTAACATAAGATCTGCTGTGAAAAGGGAATATATCAGTCCACTCATTCTGGTACCTTCCCCACAAAGGGTCAAAATTTTGAATATTTATGAAGCTCATAAAACGCGAAATTAACATCGGATTCCGTTCAGACTTGGCACATCTCAATATTTCTATCAACGCAAGATCTGTTATGAAGATGATAGAGATCGGACCATTGCTTCTGGTACCTCCCTCACCAAGAGTCAAAATTTTGAATATCCATGGAGCTCATAAAACGTGAAATAAACATCCGATTCCATTTAGACTAGGCACATCTCAATATTTCTAACAACACAAGATCTTTTATGAAGATGAAGAATATCGGACCATTTCTTCTGATATTTGCCCCACAAAGGGTCAAAGTTTTGAATAACCAATACGAGTACAAAATCCGACGTAAGCACCCAATTCTCTTCATATCTCACATAGCCCATTATTTTTACTAACACAAGATCTGCTGTGAAAATTGAATATATCAGTCCACTCATTCTGGTACCTCCCCCATAAAGGCTACCAACTCCACATAGGGTTCAAGATTTTGAAAAACAAAACGCTCAAAGAAAGCGAAATAAGCATTCAAATATCTTCAAATTTCAAACATACAGACACATTTTCTAACACAAGATCTGTAGTGAAGATAATATATATGTGTGAACCTCTTCTGGTACCACAACCAGAAAGGGTCACAATTTTCAATACTTTTATTTGCCATAACTTGCAAAAGAAATCAGCGATTCTTTACAACTTGCTATATCTAAATATTTCTCTCAACTATTGTGGAATTTATGATTTCGCATAAAATTGTATATAAATGTTCGATTCGGGTGCAAAAAATTGTGTATAGGTCCCTCAATGTTCACTCCAGGGTTCGCTATTGTTGCCAGATTTTATGGAAACATGATACTACGACTTCCATAGACTAAAGCAATATTTGATATTTTGTTTTCTTTTTTAGATCTCCATGTTACGTGAACAATTGGCCCAGGAAGCCAAACGGCGTCAGCAGTACATTTTACGTAGTTCCAAGGCAAATCGAGAAATGCAACATTTACGTAGTACCCTAGGAGACTCATTGCGACATGTTTCACAGCATCCTTTGGATCCTAATCTATTGGAGAGTGAATCCAGGAGGTAAAGATCATAATTTGTTATTAAAATGAAATACTGATCTGTGTTTTCTTTTCCCAACAGATTGGACAATGCCGTATCGATGAGTCTACCGCCATCAACCTGTCGTGATTATGAACGCGATTAAAAGGGGAAAATATGGAACTGTCCTAACAAACACTACCTAATGCATTTATTTTGTTTTTTTAAACCAAAGAAAATTAGAGAAATAATGCCACACACATTTTTTATAGGCATCCTGTGCACTCATACATATCTACATATTTAGAATAAGTTAGATGAATACTACCAATACACCATACAAACACAGAAATCATTTTACATAATCGAAAAGTCAAAAAGATTCAATAAATCCCATAACAAAAAAAAAAATAACACATCAACTCATTAATTTTTTATGGACAACAAGAAGACCAAAAATTGTTGCAGAGAAGTAGCTTATCATTGTCTGCCTAGGAAGACAATTGAATATAGTGTGTTCAATATATGTAGAGAGAGAAAAATCAAGTTTGGACATGATCACTCATTTAGCTGGCAGCAAAAATAAAAAGGATATTTATGTGACACGGTTACTGTTCTCCTGTTTTAAAGAAAGAGAACAGTCAACATACAAAACACTTTTTTTAGTTTAAAAAGCAAAGAGTAAGTAATGGTAGATTAAACATTTTAAATTTCGCATTTACACATTCATCATAACAACCAACCAACCTACAAACAGACTCACTCACACTCAAACATGTTACTAATATTTGATATATGAAAAAAATAATAAAAAAATATTTACCAAATGTTTCTTTTGTATTTCATTTATTTCTTGGGTTTTGCTTCCTTTAACAGGTCTTCTAAACATTTAACAACAATTTTCATATTTGCTTTTTGCTCCGACAATTTGGCTACCTCACCAACAATGGCAAACAGAGCTTTTGTCTTGCCACTTTGGTATTGTTTAACAGCTTTGCTGTGTTTTTCAATTGCTTGTTGGCAATATTCGTTGATGGTTTTAATGTCGGAAATTTGTTCGAGGTTATGGGTTTTTATAAGCTGAAATTGAAAAGGGGATCGGTCATTATTTTTATTAAAAATGTGTTTGTTTTATTTCAACATTCACCTCATTGACCTCGGCAGTGTGGTATTCATGCAGTAATTCAATTAATGTTCTTGCAGCTTGTAAATTGATTTCTTCGGCATGCAAAGCTTTTAATATGTCCTTCAAGTGGTTATAGGTTAAGTGGCTAAAAAATATGGAGAAGGATTAAGAATAATCGCTATTAAGATTTTCAAACCAAAAATGAAAATACTGGCTTACCATTCCTCGATATCGATATTAACTTTATTGCAATAGGTGAGTAGATCATTCATCAGGAAATTTGTAACAGTTTTGGTGGGAATTGCCGGTAAATTACTTATGATTTGTAGAAAATAGTCAAGAAGAATTGGCTCATTCTTGAAATAAAAATTTATAATATTCTATTATTTGCTTAATTTATGCATACGACTTTTACCTACCACCAATATAATGGCTACTTCCTGATTCAGCTTATAATGTTCCTCTAAATGTTTGCGTGTTGCTTCGGGCAACTCTGGCAATTGCTTTGCTATGGCTGGTACTGAAACTAATGATGAGGGATCTGTTTCATCGCACTTATCATCGGACACATTTAAATGTAATGCGGGAAGATTCGGCTCTGGCATAAAACGATAATCTTGTACAACTTCCTTGTCACGCATTGCCACCGTGCATCGTTTCTCAGCATCCCAAGAGCGAGTCTCGTTTATGACGGTACCACCTTGTGATACAACTTCATATTGACGTTGTATTTCATAGCTAACAGCTTGGGATATGCTACGCACGGAACCAATATTTTTCACTTCGGTACGTACGCCATAGGGTTCGCCTTCTTGGTGTATGGAAATATTGGCATCAACACGCAGGGCACCTTCCTCCATTTTACACGAACAGGTCTTTAAACGACGCAGTATAAGGATAAGTTCTTTAATTAAAGAGGCAGCCTCTTCGCCGGTCTCCAAATCGGGGGCAAATACCAATTCCATAAGTGGTAAACCGGCACGATTAAGATCAACTAAACTTCTACGCATTTCATGGTCATGCAATGATTTGCCACTGTCCTGTTCCAATTGGAGTTGCAATAATTGTACAGTCTTGTAATAGATTTTCTTGCCGGGTACAATAACTGGAAATGTCATTCTACCATTATTGGCCAAGGCATTTCTTTGTTGGGTGATTTGATAGCCAGCCTGAAATAAAGAAACACTACTTGCCGCCAATATATATATACTTGATTTCACTTACCGGCATATCAGCGTAAAAATAATGTTTGCGATCAAACATGGAAATCTGATTGACTTGACAGCCCAAAGCCAGAGCTGTTTTTACACCCAACTCAACACATTTGCGATTGAGTACCGGCAAAGTACCCGGTATGGAAGCATCAAAATAGGAAACAGCTGAATTCAATGGTGCCCCAAATCCTGCAGCAGCTCCCGAGAACAATTTCGATTCACTAGATATTTGTGCATGCACTTCCAGGCCTACCACACTTCTCCATTTGCTGCAAATATATTTTATTATTCATTGAAGTTATCGCCATGCTCCTTTATATTTACCCCTTCAAAGGTTTGGGTGCTATGGCCTGTGCAGAATACAGCCTTTTGGACCAACTTCCATTCAGAAAAACGAAGTTTTTTAACATTTTGTTGCAAATGTTATGAAATGCGGGCAACAGGCATAAGGAGGTATAAGGCTAGTTCAGAAATTGCCAATAATATTGGACCATCAAATATTTTGCTTTGGGTTTAATTCACACCAATGACTTCTTCATCTAGTAATATATTAATCAATGGTTTAATTTATTATATTAAAATAATATAATAAATACTCTATAAGTTTTTAAATATTTTGACGTTTCTTTGGTAATTGGGATTTGTAAACACATTATAATCCGTTGGTAGGGATCTATAACTCGTTTGTGGACTATGTAGTTGGGACATAAAAACAATTAATAACGCATTTACATAAGTTTTGCACATTTCGTAAACCAAAGATTTCAAAATATTCACTTCTTTAAACAAAAATGACGCTCTCTTCTACTATTTGTATATTTTTTAGAAAGTTTTATACCAGAAATTTGGGCGAACAAACGTGGAAAATGTACCAGGCAGAGAATTAGACATTTCATTAAATTCATTTTTTTTTCAATTTAGATCGACTAAAAATTTCATGTTCAAATTTTGCTTATTTATTGTTCACCCTTTATTGCATGGTACAATGAAATCAAAGTAACCTCCATGGTACAATAAGGAGGTAGAACAGCTACGTAAAACTATAGAAATACTTCCAGTCAAAATTTACATTTAACAAGTTGATTTCATTTATTCGATATTTTTCCTCATGTTGAAAATGACTTGAATGCCGCGGAAATGATTGAAATGCCTGAATTTTCTTTCTAAAATATGATCTAAACTATTCGATCTTTCGATTATTTTGTTTTTGTTTTTTCAAAACAATAAATATATACATAAAATTGGCAGAAGTCGGACACACTTAGTAAAAATTGTAATCAGGTGGTAGCTCTACCTTAGCTTTTTATTGTACCATGGCAACTTCATTTCAAATAAGCATTCGTCGAATTTAATTGCATAGGTTGTTTTCAAAATGCTTATTGCATCGACAAAATTTACAATTTTTGTAGCACAATAAACTTAATGTGGCGTTTCCACTGCACTTGATTCGCTCTCTATTCGTTGTTTGACCCTTAACTATGAAAAAACTACCTAATTCTTCACACAAAATTTTCTGAGCGAACACTCATATTTGTACGTTGTTCAAATCAAATCACTCTCAGAACAACGAAAAAATATGTCCCATCCCTAACAAATGAGAGCATTTATCGAAAAAATAAATTATGACATTTAAAAATTAAAAATAGAAAAATTTAATGAAATTTTAAAAATTTTTGGGAAGACTGAAAATTATGAATGAAAACTACAATGTTGAATGGCGTATGTACATTCAAACGAAAGTAAATTTTGTTTTCTCTCTCATTCGAGGTACGCATTTGGTCCACGAGTTGAAATTTCAACAGAAAACTGCAAACAAAAGAGGCAATATTTTCAAAATGTTTCTATCGGCAGAAAAAATGTTTCACAAGTGTCTCTCCAGCAGAATTTAAAAATGGAAAAAACACAAAAATATGTTCAAAATGTCAACATTTACAAAAAAAGTTGAAAACGTGAATGAAAATTGTAAAATTAATGATATAATAAATCTTTGGGAGGAAAACAATAATTTCTTCTATTCGTATTAGTGAGAATTTCATGTATTTTCGTATAAATTTCCATTAAAATCAACAAACAAAATTTTTGAGAAAAGGAGTTATTTTACTATGAATTACGAATCGTGCCGTATGAACGGGTTAATTCGTGTACGTAATTCTGAGAGCGAACAACGTTGTTCGGTTTTCAATGGAAACATGCTATAAGAGATATATAGAACATGATTTTGAAACGAAATTGTGCACAGATATATAGAACATGATTTTGAAACGAAATTGTGCACTTTCATTCAGTTTTCGCGGCTTTCAATAATATATTCGAAACCAATAATTCCGACATTACAAGCCAAACAGGTAGATCTCTATACTTGTTATTTTTCCAAAGATAGCCTACCTTGTCCTCATTGTAAAAAAAATAGACAAATGTGTGATATCAAGAATTATACTTCATAAGTAAAATGACAATTTTGACATACACACGGAAATTCACATGGATAATAAAAGTGACAGCATATATGTAAAACCCTTATGGTCAGATAACAACAGGAAATCTTCTAAATCAACTTATGCAGAAGTAGCGAATAACCCGAAAAAGAAAAGAACTAGAATAACCAAGAAGTATAAAATCGTTCCGATAGTTCCTGCCAGTGAATAGTTCCTTTGAACCCTTCCGTTCCAGAACGACACAACTCTAGAAACCAGCAACCAGCAATAAAAGAAATAAAGGAAAAAGCAAAGAAAATGAAAAATATTGGATGTAGTTTTTGATAGTCTTACGGGCAAAAATACGCTTTAAAACAACAACGAAGAGAAGGTCGGTCGGTCTGATGGTCAGTTGGTCGGCCAGGGAACACAAAACTCATTCGCATGCAAGGTATTGTGGATTTCGATGCTAAATGTGCTGTTTTCAACGTCGAAAGATATTTGCTGCTCCCGTGCTGAATTCCACTTCGGCATAAACTTTGTAAAAATTCTGGGCTTGACAGAATTTTGCAATTTTCAATCATCATCACTAGTGCTATCGGAAAAACGGCAGACACCACGTCAAGCTGGCAGCGAGAATTTCGCAAAGAAAAACCAAAACAAGAAAGGATCAAATTTCACACACACAAAATTCACTCTGCACTATTGCTGCTGCTGCTGCTGCTGCCACTACTGTTGAAAGGAAGGAAGGAAGAAGGAGTCCGTTGAAAAGTGAAAGAAAGGCAACCGGCTGGAGGACACGACGAACAATAGAAATAAAACAATGAAACAAGAGAAGGTAGGTGGCGTTGATGACGATGGAAGTTGGCTACGGCAAGAGTTGGGTAGATTCGTTTCGAGTTTTAATGCTTTCGAGATAACCTGGCTATCTTTAGTATGGCTGGCATGCCACCCAACCATATTGATGGTTGCATTTTTAGCTTCTTCTTCAAAATAAACACATATTTTGGAAATGTTTGGTTGCTACACTCATCATCATCATCA